CATATTTTGTTTGGGAACATTGTCCTGTACAAGGTGGCACTTTGATATTTTTCCTAAAAACCTAAAAACACTAGCACTACTTAACATTTGATGTAACAATATTCGTACTTTTATAGGCTCACGTTGTGTCAGGTGTATGTTGAAATGCTATGTCCTTCAAAGATAATTTTGTGAAAGTCAATTCCTGATACCAAAAACCCGTTCACGGATGTGATCTAGAGAGCTCTTCTCCGTCAAAAAAAATGTCGTGCATGTTCTATAGGAAAAAGCGAGAAGTTACATGTATGCGCTTGACATAAATTGTGTTTGTCAATAATGAGTGCACGTCGTGAATCAAAACACAAACGAATATTAAATTGGAGTAAAAATAGTATTTTCTCTCATTGAAAAGTCAATATGTATAATGAACCTGAACGTGAAATTAATACGCACGATGAAGCGGTCGGTGCATTTTGTTGTTTATGTTGAATGATTGCCCATCCGGGCGGGCTTTCAAAAATTGCGGATTTGTAAACTTTTATTTAGTTCAATGATACAAAATGATTGCACGTTACCTCAACTAAACCATATCATTCTACAAATGTAGAACTATTTTTTTTCACCTCCCCTCAAACATATTTACTTTCGAAATCACATATGAATTAACGATTTAATGCTGACTCCACGTGTGAGCCAAATGTACATGTTTTGAACAAAGCATCCGGTATCACTTATTGGATATGTGCATTTAGGTCACTAATTTTGCGTGTGTTAAAACTTTATGTTTGATTTAGAATTTTGTAAATGTAAATTCGTTGTATGAGTGTGAATGTGAGTGGATATATCCAGTGGATATGATTGCTGCCATACAAGGTGGGTCGTATAACTATGAGAGTATAAATATGCATAGTGCCCAGTTGTTGGACAGGTGTTAATCATTACATTTACTACTTATTCCCAACTTGATAAATTGGTTAATATATAATGAAAAGAGATACACATAAGAACATTTTTACGAACAAATTTAAAAACTATTCATAATCGAATATGAATGCTCATGATGTACATCCACTCGAATATATATTTAACATGGTGCTTTACTGTTTCTGAACAATGAAGACAATCAATATATTGCAATGGCTGTCAATCCTATTTTCAATAGCTAATTATACGCAATGTACAGTTTGGATTTGACATTGATTGAATATGTTGATGATCCATGTCAATAATGATGGCGCCATGCTGATTGATGTCAATCTTAGCAACTCCTAACGAACTGTGTGTTTCTTTTTTTATTACATGTACAAGTTTTACACAAATGCAAATGTGACTAGAAGATAGATTGTATTCCAAATTTTATTTATCTGCATTGTTATAACCATGAGAATAAGCCACATTATTCTAATTTAATTTTCATTTTAGTTGTACTATTTGTTGTAAAATTATCTTCTAAAATTAATCACAACCGACGCATAAATAACGGGGTTTAAACGTGGCGCACATTGGCTTGTATAGTCGCAGACGTCTTCTTTATCTCCCGGTTACGTCATGGTCAACATTGAAAACATGAGATTTCAGCAGTACTTTGAAATATGCATTGTAATTGATACTATTTACTTTTTTGTTCCTATTTACACAAACAAACTACACCAGTCGTAGCAATGGTATTTTTTATTATTTTTAAACAATGCGGATGTACTGCATTGCATATTCTCATCTAATGATTGAGATTGAGATAAACTTTTAAAATATAATTTCAAGATTTCAATAGAACATACAAACTCTTATGTTGATAGTTCGTTCGGGAAATTATTTTCAACATGGTGGCATTTTGCTTTATTGCTAATAAAACGAGTCGAGATAAAAAAGGATAATTAACATTTTTATTTATTTAAAGAAACGTGAACTCAATAATATTATGACACAGACATATAACCCACAATCTGGACTTACTGCTTTTAATGTTTATTTTTTTCCTCTAATGTCGAAAATGTACATTTATGATATTGACATGTCAATTATAATTATTGCTTATCATAATGCACGTCCAAAAACTTGTCAAGTGAATTATGTGGCAAGACTGAAATTGATGGTATTGGTCGTTTGATGTCACATGATCATAACATAGTGAATGACGATGTGAATGATTCTGTTTCAAGTAAATCAAAAACAGAGAAGTAGGCTTTAGGGATGGCGGCTGGGCTGAAATACTAGCTAGCTTTGTGGGAAAAGAAAGAAAAATATTGATTTGTAAGAACATTCAAGATGGGACAGACGTAGAAGGGGGGAAGTGAAGAAAAAAAACGGAAAGCCGGAGAAGGAGAGAGGTGTGTTTTACATGTCTAACCAAGGTCACCCCTCTAAACAATCGAACAACCCTAAGCCACCCACGCATTATTTTATGAATCCTAATTTCTATTCAGAAAAATTTGCTTAAATAACGGTAGACGACCATAGTTGTTCACTCTGCCAGAAAAGAACTCAACCAACTTGTAACGACTTCAAGACGGAAGGTAAGTATCTGCTTCCATACTATATTCTGTACAAATTCTCACTCATACAGCCATTCCATCCCTCAACAGTCGAAGTTACATAGTATTCCATTTGATAAATTCATGTTGATGCATGAACACGGCCAATATATTGACTTTCACAAAAATGTGAACTTGATTGATAATCTGGAGCTTAGTTGTCCATTTCTAAAATTAAATGAGACGCTCTGGGTTTAAAACCAAAAAAACGACAGGTTAAGACCACAGTGATTCATTCACTGACCGGTGCGTCTTTGGAAGAACTTGGTAGCTAATACGTTTTATAGGACATTGAGTTCAACTGAACCTTGGTAGTATCTAGGTTGAGTTGCGCGTAAATTGCATTTATGGCATTATTGGACATAATGCGGCGCAACGAAATGAAATATGGTTTCAGACAATTTTCGTTTAATTGTTTAATTAACATTTCTCTATAATCGAGTCGTACATATGTAACAGTTGATTAGCCAAAACATGCATGTTAATATCATTATTTTGGTGAATGGAAGTCAATTTCATATTTCATACCGTTCCAACTTTACAGTCGTTGTCGTTATTTTTAGGGGCCACACGTAAATATCACGTATATAACAGTTTATACACAACAAATGATCCGCCAATCGCCTTACCTACAATTTCTTCAAGTGTTTTTTTATTTATGAATTATAATGCAGAAACGCGTTGACATATTGCTTGGTTGATTTTGATTACATTTATTTTATCCATTTTCCATTATAGATATGAATGCTGTAGTATTCATTTTATTGGTCGTTGTACCGGCACTGTATGCGGATCATGAGATCCAAAGTAAGTAATTATTTGCGTGTATATTTTCTATACAATATAAACTCTAAAAAAGTACTTTCCAATAATTCAGCATTGTACAATAATGCATGGTACATATGTTTGAACAGATATTTTATTATACCAGGTTATCAGTGGCATCAGCGCAATATTGTGTTTGGACGATACCACTTTTATGTAGTGGTTAAATAGAATACAATGCACTGTTATTCATGGATTATGCTTTTTAAGTTACGCCCGGAGTATGAAATAAACATATTAATAATAATTCATCCTTTTGAAAATTGGATTTAATTTGCTTTTTATGTTGAAAATATAATAACTTTAAATAAAATTATGTCAGACAGTTTTTTACCTCATAAGACTAAGCATAATTAGTATAATCAATTATAGTATTTCAACTCCAGTTCAAAAATCAGTACTAAAATTAAAATCATACTTCTGTTTTCTAGGTAGTCATTATCTTGGGAGGTTTAGAGAACAGTCTCCGTTAAACGCGCTACCAAACATGTTAGGAGGTTTGATACCAGGTGGTGACCCTAGCATTTGCGAAGAGAGGGCTTCAGGCAAAGACGTATACGGATTGACTATTGACAGTGATTATTGTTTTTCTGGTGACAATGCGGCTGATACTTATGACATCAATGGCTATTCAAATAGCGTCTGTAGTGGTCGGGCTCGAGATGTGTATGCGAATGTGAAAGTCAGTACAACGTGCCAGCGTGAGATGTTCGAACTCTCCTGCGATAATGGTGGCCAAATTCAGATTATCGATGGATTCTATGGACGTCGCGGAGATGATATTTGTGAAGATGATCCTGAATCGACAGATTACTGCCACTTTGACGTCACCAATATCTTGAAAAAACTGTGTGACGGCCTAACTTATTGTACAAAAAATACAGTCAAAAAGATATTTGGTGATCCCTGCGATCAAGCACCCAAACATCTTGTCATTCAATACTATTGTAAGTAAATTTGTCAATATCCGTACACTTTAACAATATTGTGTCGCCACGACGAATAATAGAAACCAATTTACCCATAATTGTTTATGTATGTAAATAAACCGACGTAACCTGGAAACACGCTGTAGCAAAATATGTTAATCTGTGGTGATGCTAGAATTTGCATATTTATGTAAATACCTTAAATGTGATATCACCACGTTCAAGAGTAAGTTTTAGCATAAATGAGCCTTCCTTATCTGATGTCTAATATCGACATATCGAAAGTTCTAACTTTGTGGTAATTTTTGGAATTAGCTCAAACAGATTGAATTACCGCTAAAAAAGACTTTGTCCAAGTAGTACCTAATTTATTTATTTTGTCGGTTGTTTTCTTGGATTTGAAACAGTGAAAGTTATAATAATGAACATAGTAATAAAATGTAATCCTTATAGCAATTGTGTTTATCATTTACGGCACATAAATGTACGGAAAAACAGCAGTTGACCAGAATATTCAATAAATATTTCGAAAAATTGACACATATACATGTTTATTTTTACTTGTCATGCATATAGGTGGACATCGTAATCTTCCAGCCATGGATACAGGTACGTATATTTACACTGCCAATTCCACTGACAATTATATCGTTAATATCTTTAATTTTAAAGACCAACTATATGCGCGGGCATTTGGCGTATTCAGTTATTCCGCTTTTTTCATTTTATCAGTCTAGAGTGGTGTATATTCCCTTATTTTATGAAATTTTACTTGACTTGCTTATTCTTTACCATTAATTTATAATGTATATTTTTTGATAAAAAATATTCAAATTCGGCGACGAAAGTGGCGAACGCGTTCAAAAAATTGAGGTCCATACGTACAATATAGTATTTGGCATATTATTTCAAATGTGTTTGCAAATACCCAAGCATATCCGCGTATTTCCGTAAAAAATCGAGTGCGATTGCTTTTTATCATTTTTGAGAGCCATCAAGTATCATACCACACACGCTATTCTCCGCGCGAAGACACAGGCGATGTGAAATATTTGGTGATACACAACTACAAATATTAGTTTTGCTGTGAAATTAGTCACGCTGCAAATTAACCATCAAATTTTCCTCCAGATATCTATCCCCTTGGATGTTTTAATGAGGTTTTTGATGATAAGGCGCTTCCAGACTTCAAAGGCTTCATCGATGGTGATTGTGAATGCATGATGAAGAACAGTGTGGAGACTTCGCTGCAGGACTAGAAGTGTTTGGAGTAAAACCTGGCGTTGCTTGTTTTTCTGGTATTGATGCGGCTGAAACCTATTCCAAACATGGTCCAGTATCGGGAGAGTGTACTGAATTTGATCGACACGTGTTTGCTTACATCAAAAGAAGTGTAACATGCCAAAAGGAGATGATGAATCTCGAATGTAATTATGGTAAAATCCGCATTTTATCTGCAGTATACGGGCATGGCGGCGATCTTGATGTTTGTGGTAACGAAGTGAATGGTCCAATTCAATGTGAGTTCGACGTAGTGGACATAGTAAAGGACATATGCGAAGGTAAACCAACGTGTTCGAAAAACACCGTCATGAAAGTATATGGTAATCCATGTGCTTCGGAAGATGGTCACCAGGATAAATACCTTGAAGTCAAATATTATTGTAAGTCCAACTAGTCCTGGCCAAGGTCGATATTCATATTTTTCGCATTTGTCAAAAGTTATTTATGTACATCGACCTTGACCCGGGCCTTATTTCTATCATTATATCGAATAAAACGAAGGCTGTATTGCAAGATTTCTCACACTCAAGTTTTCAATGACAACATCCATTCGCAAGTAACTGTTTCGTCACACTTCCAATGGCTCATATGGTATTATGTATTCAATAATCCCTTCTATAATTACTGTCACATTCAAGATTTTTGCTACGGTCGACTGTATGACATTTCAAAAACGGCACATTAGAGGAGGAGTCAATCGGATCTAAATAAATGTAATGAAACTTGCATGTATTTACCCACGAAGAATAATGAAATGAATTAGATGAACTGAATAGAATCACTAAACATGGGCATATGACGTCAACAAACCCAAACACTGTGCGAAATTCAAATAATCAGTGCTGGCTACATACATGATACAGCGAATACGGTCGGACCTACGTAGAAGCGTAGAAGCTTAATTTCACGTTTTTGAGCATGGAGAAATAAATATGCAAATACATCGACCGCCAAATGCTGAATTTGATTGGCTTATTGGAATATGATGTATAATAATGTAATATATTATTTTACCTATCAGTTTAAGTATATCACATATCTCAACTTATTCCCTACACGTAGATTAGCCGCAATTGTCTAGCTTGTAATAATAACCATATAGTGCCTTCCATGGATATCAACAACGCATTCAATGATTTATTAATTTTATAAAATACGAAATTATTCTTGATCTTCTTTATGTTCACAGGTGGACAGTAACTTCCATCAAAACCAACAGCCACCACTATTTAGGTGAGTATCTAAATGTCAGTTGTGCGATTCCTTCCTCTACATAATATTCATGTCTCAAATAACAGACAGTATTCATACCAAATAATTGCTGCCTGCTAAATGTTTAATGCTTTTTTTATTTCAGGGTAACCGTTGTAATAGCTAAAGTACATCAACCTAAGTTAGAATAATCATCCGAGATGCATCACTACGTTAACAGACGATAATATGATCGCTAATTTTCTCTGAACATTAACAGCTCGCGTAATTATTCAACAATTCCATTCGTTAGCAAAATTAACTTAGTGTAACCATTTGAATATACTGAATAAAAACCTTTTCCCAGCCACAGTTTGCTTTTTTTCATGATACATAAAAAGACCCATATTACGATAATAATGCCACCAATAGTGGGTAGCGTTATGAAAAACAGGGAAATTAGGGTAAAAGTAAAACCGTACATTATAACGAGTTTGGATAACTTAATTGCGAAAACCGCTTTTAACAAAGCGTTCATACTATACAAATCTTTGGACATTTATATAGTATAAAACTCCGTAATATAAATGCCCACTGTCTTTTATTATACGAAAGCGAATGAGTTTTTACTATATACATGACATGAATGCATAGTCGCCAGGGGCAATACAGTACAGGTGTTAAATCCTAATGCATTTCAAATCTTTATTGTTTTTAATTAACTTGAACCAGGCAATTTCTTCTTTTTTTTGGAAGAGAAGGTTTTGGCTTTGGCTCTCCCACTATATCACACACCATTGAGTTATTTTCTAGTCACATCTGGTTGTGCTTTCTGTGGCAACACATGTGCATAGTATTCATTAGATATTCGTACAGCAAGATATGGGCATATTGCACAATTTACCAATTTACACTTTCGCATTATTGGACGAGAATATTACAAGACGTACATTATTCATCGTTCATTAATGATTGTGTGTATTAGCATCAAATTTAAAAAAAATCAGATGCAGCATACAATTACAGTGGGAATAAAAAGGATTTTATACAATTAGTTGTTTTGAACGAGACAAATGAACAACTCAGAAATCTGGCGCTTTTAAAATAGCCTTTCCAAGGTCTCTTGTACTCATCATGGCATCGATAGATCTGTTTTCCGGAAAACCTGTCTGATACAAGGTAGTAGACGTGATTACCTAAAAATCAAATTATTTGACGACGTTACGAATCGGTAAGAATCAACAAATAACATTAAAATGTTCTTAAATCTCCACACTTGTTTGTGTAGTATCTAGATAGGCTAGCACATGCTAACATTTTGTTCATATACATTCCATCTTGTTTGTTTTTTTCAAATAATCCGCTTCGAGAATTTCACCGGTTGAGGTGGCTTGAGACCGCCAATAACACTCTCTGTTGGTTGGTTGACAAGCAGGGTATTTTCCCACGTTATAATTTCAAAATACAAAATTTCAATTTACAATTGTAGAAGAACACTACATAGAAAGGTCCAGACGCTGTCACAATATTAATGATACCAATGTCGCACAATATTGTCTAGAGCTTGCTTCTAAAAACAAATAAATGATAATGTGCACCTATAAAATATTGAGGTTTTAACGATCACAGTTTTTTCTCAAATGTCCTGATACAGCGTATTTGGTGGTCATTTTTTTATTTCGCTTTTCAACTTTCAAAAAGAAGTACGACATCGACATATTTAGCTTTTCTGTACTACGTCGTTCAACTGATTCTGAAATTGATCGTAAGCGAATATATTATATTTCGAGTTACTGATTCCGACCACGCGATCAAAACAGCAACTACTCATTTTATATTTGCACGTGTCTTGGTTTGCATTCGTTCTTTGAGAATTTTAGATAAATAACGTTCATTTTCAATTGTACCAAATCTAACCACTGTAGTCATTCAGGAAAAGTCCGTGAGTTTCCGATGAGGTTCATTGTACTGCTACCCCTCACATTCACCTACATCTACATAAACTTGCACATACACACACATGCCGCTCTGGTAATATCCGACTAAATTAAAATATTGAGCATGTGACCAATAACTGTAAGCCAATCAGTTTGTTCCAAAAATGTAGTTCAATCAAAATGTTATCTGTATGCGACTGATTGTGTTGTGTTCTGTTGTTGGTCTTAAATTTACACTGAACAATGAAACACAATTTTGCTACGTTTAGTATGTATATGTACGCCAAATAATACCAAACAGAGCTTTGGTATTAGCTGAAGTACTCTTTTTTAGTCAGCCTTGCGGCCTCAAGAATTTTTTTGATCGGTCTTTATATATACTCAGCCGGCCCACATACTGGGAGTTTATTTCGGTCCAAATGTCAGTCTTAAACTACCTAATAGCCAAATGAATCTGGGCAGTTTTCAACAAATCAACTGCCTGATTTCCAATTGAACACACCTCGCAAGGCAATAATTGTTAAGAGCATATCATGCACAGAGAAAAATGCAGTTTTTTTAGCAACTATGAATTGGAACGTTTTACAGTTATTGGCTTTGGAAATATTTTAGATTAGCTCTCATAAACTACCCAGAAAACACATATCCAGTAATTTGTGGGCTGAAAACCCAAATAATTAAGCATTTATTATTATTATATATATTTTATTTTACATCGCAAAACTACAACAGTGAAACCATTGCCTTGAAGTCGATGCAACTTCAACTAGCCATTCTTTACCTTGAAATAAAAAAATTAAAATTAAGAGCATCGGGGAATATATTAATAACCATTATTAGCAAGCGATAGCTTTATTTTATTCGAATCCATAAAATTCACGAGTTTTACGACATTTGCTGGCTACCTCTGTGCTAAAAACGGTTGTAAATGTGGGTGTAGTTCTCTCGCAAAGTCCTGTTGGTAATACAGACAAATATGGTCGTGTCCAGATCCTTGGGCTAATTCAGCACATGTTTAAAAGTCACCCATAACCAAATTAACATGGATACAATGCTGTTGGAAGTGGTTATTAAGATTTATACAGCCCACAATTTTTGTCACCTTGACCTACACTTTAACCATTAATAGGCTAAACTTGGGCAGAGGGTTCTCCGAACCCACCTATCCACATAGTTTATTCCCACCATAGACTCCGGTCAGTCAAAATGACTATTTTAAACTGTAGGCATTAATCAGCGATTCTGCCGGTGACGAAGAGATTGAATCTAGGTCAGGGGAAGCCCCATGACCTCAATATTATCTTTACCTTACGTCACGAACGACTCAACTGAGCTATATGGCGGCGCCATAGATGGCTGTACAATCACTCTGGTTCTTTTCTCTCCGCATCAATGACTTAGACCAACGCTAAGGTAAGAGTGGTGTGGTTGGGGGGGTGCAGTAGTCTATGGTGGGTATGAACTATGTGAATAGACGGGTTCAGAGAACCCTCTGCCTAAATTCACTATGTTCAATTACCCACATTGACTCCGGTCAGTCAAAATGACTATTTGAACTGTAGACTGTAGAGTCAGACGCCGATAGGTGGCGGGTTTTCTGAGCAAACAGAAAAATTATGAAAGTCTTTTCCCAGTCCGGGATGAAATACAATAATCACTCAACACCCTGGTTAAAGCCTAATAAGAAAGGGTGGTGTCTTCCCTTGCCTGTGCTGTCCCGGAGCAAGAACGCCAAAATGCTGCTAGGTGACAGGGTTTGGTGTGCCCGAGAAAGCTAGACCCCCAATCCAATCCTGGCGGTAGCAAGCTTTCAAAGTAAAGACCGAAAACAGTTTTGCATGAGGGCATAGACCACAAAGCGGAACCTTGGAGCTTCCAGGGGAGTGCTGACAGTAGGGAAATCTGTCCGCATAAAATGCCGAGACTGACTTATTGCCTATGTGCAGAAACCTTGTGGTCGTTCGGGCTGTGTTCAGCAAACCAAGCCTGACCTGATACGACGGTACCCAACCTACAGAGTCCTTCCTCAATGGATTCGGTGTCTGTTAGTGGTAGTTGATAAAGACGTTCTGCATTCTTCAGAAGCCTGCCCTCCGTGTATGCTCGAGGGGGGAACCTGACGCTAGCACCAGTGAGTTGGCAATCATAGAACTCATGCGCTCGTACTTGGTGTCTCTGCAATCTCTGTGTCGAGTTAAAGTAGTATAGACCTCTAATACAGTCGCAGTAAACCACCTGGTTATGGAAGTGGGGAGGCCGGCATATCCTTCCTGCCTGGGCCGTAACACAACAACATGTGCCTGGCAACTCCGTTTGGTAGCAACTCCGTGCTCGAACCGGGCAGAGAAGCAATTCCTCCTGGCCCCCCGGGCAGACAAAATTTGACAGCCGGGGGATGACGATCGGGTGAGGATCGTGTCCTGGGATTTGGTTCTAGGCGAGAAACCCGATTCGTGTCTTTCGCACAACTTGATTGTCCATAATGCGGTATGCCATCGGAGAATGACAATGCCCCATGCTCTGTCGACGCCTACCTGAGGCGAGGGCCAGTAGGAAGACTATTTTCCAGGTCAAAAAATGTGAGTAGTGCTGATCAAAGTGGCTCAAATGGCGGCCTGCTTTGAGCGAACAACACAGCCAACAAGTCCGAATTCGGTGGTTCCCTTGTATGAGGTCTTGGCGTCTGGAAAGCAGTAAATAGTCTCCTAATAATAGGACAATCGGCTAGTCGTGTTCCCGTAAGTTCTCAATAGCCAAAGATCGCTGGATAGGACAAACCAACTTCGTCAAACAGGTGGACGGAGGAGCTTGCTACCTGGCCAATAGAGGGATGGTATGGATCAATTTCCTTTCCGCTACACCAATCAGTGTATGCTCGCAGCCT